CACACACACACACACACACACACACACACACACACACACACATCGGTTTCACTTTTCATTTAAATTTTTAACAAACTCATGCGCACATGTATATATAATATATTTATAGTGATCGAGCATTACGTAAATTATTTATCATTTACTTACCCCACTGAAGGTTTTAACATTATGAAGAGCGTTCTGCGCTGCCAAAGCCGCTTTTCTAGTGTAAAAGGTTACAAAGCAACATCCTGTAACAGAAAATTAATAATTTTGATTAGATTTTTTATTTGAATTAGATTTGAATTAGATTTAATTGACTGCTTAGCAAAAATTTTAATTGATCATTTCACTATGTAAAAATGCTAGCAGAATTTTTTTATGGTTAAACTTTTATTCGAAGATTAATTATTAGTATTGTCCTTTATCTATCAATTTATTTAAAAAAAAAAAAAATGTATTTCAGAGTTAAATTATTGATAGATGTAAAGATTTTCGTTTACATTGCGATTAAATTGACGCAAAACTTTCACAATGTGCTGTAAAAGAAAAGAGACAACAATGTTATCAAATCTCAACGCTACTTTCTGGCAGTAAGCGAAAAGTTCCGCACTTCGGGTCATCATACCCGATGTGGCTACCAACAAGAAACTATGATAGACACGAATGGTCGCAGAGTTCGTGCAATCGGTGACAGGTTCGATATGGAAGACGATCGGAGGGGAAAGAGGGAAGTCGACTCTCGGGGACCTCATCAAGTACCTTCCGTATCCCTCGGTTGTCGAGGCTGGACACTATCCAAGCTTCAACCGATCGATAGTTACGAGTTACCAAAAGTTCGATACGCCGTTCTATCACTAAAGGTCCTCGCCTCTTTCTCTACTGATTACTCGATTTCTGTCCTTCTTTGGTCTTTAAATCATCCCAGATGAATCATTAGTTTATTTATAGACGAAATAAGAATTCTGCATCGAACAGAAATAAAAAAAATAGATACTGTAACTGAACATTGGGTAACGTCTCAATAATACATAAATTTATAATTAGATCTCATGAAGTTAATAGAGAAATCAAATGGAACAAAAATTTTTTTAAACCAAGACACTTGTCAGTTTATTCAGTTTTAATTTTAAAAATTAATGAAAGTAAAAAATTGTCGAACTACGAAAAAATGTATATAATCCAATAATAAAGAAATCTATAATAAAAGGTATATCAATTTTAATTGTATTACGGATAAATGTACAAATCGAAAAACTGCAAAAGTAAGTATCTGCGAAGATTTCTAAAACTAAAAACATCTGAAATTTTCTTAATAACTGTCAGCACGTAAGAAGTTTCGTAAGACCGTAAATTATATTAATTGTATTTGGGTTTTCCAAATATATTAAAATGTGTCTAAGACTCTTTTTGTAAAGTAGTAAGTATTAAGGATAATTAAGATATCGCAAAGTTAATGGCATCGCAAGTTAATAACGGTCACGTTCAATTAACAGGTTTCCTATTTACGGTGTATACGAAATTATGATAAACCTACAACGCGGCATTGAGCATAGAGGGCGTAATTATAATGCGATCGCGGTAATAGTTTCGGTAACAAGCCTTCCAATTACTCGAGGAAATCCCGATATTCCGCAATGTTTTGTTTGGTAACGTGATATTCAATATCGCATTGAATAACGCATGGTACCGCGTTGAATGCATAATTGCGAATCGTGCAACCCGATACATAACGGAATGGTCTGGAATGTTAGAACCAACGTATTAAGTTTGTCTAATCAAAAAAGGAGTCTTGCTTCAACCACAGTTGCATGTAATACTTCATTTCAAACCCCCATGTAACTCGAGATATACAGACTGAATCTTTGCTAAGGGGAATTAGCGGAATAATTTTTCCAAGAGAGAGAATTAAAGAAGATAAAAATAAACGGAAACAAATCAAATATATGAAATTAATTTTCTTGTATGTCTTGTATTTGATTCTTTATGATATAAATTAATCAATTAGATATGTGCGTGATAAACATTAAACAAATTGACAAAAATTAATCTCTTATGTCATTAAAGGTATTCCCAGTTTAGGGATTTTCAGAAATCGAGGTTGTTTTATTTCAAATAAAGTTTCTCGCATGCCTTCCATGCACGAAAGCGAAGGAAGTGACATTCTTAACATGTTGCCAGCAAGCTTCCGTAAATTACAGCATGAAGACGCAGCCGGGAGTCGGGAAATTATGTTCCGGCGAGTAAGTAATCTTAAGGCATCATCGCTTCATAGACCTTTAAATCACCGCCTGCAAACTGCCCCCACGCATCCTTTCGCCGTCCATCGACCGGACCGTTGTAATGGCTGTGTCTACAAATGACCTCGTTCGTCTAGGTGCTAACGTCAATCCACGTCTGCTTCCACGTTATCACTGCCGAGTTATTTCGTCCCTTTTCGCAATCGATTTTGAAAATATATGTAGAAGATGTCTTTCGATTATTAAAACTATCGATCATTAGGAAATGTGATGACGTGCGTTATACATTTATAATTTATTTAAATTGTGACCATATTCATGAATACTATTTTATAATTATTAACATTTTCTAATTGTATTTAATAATTTTTTCAATTAGATAGTTTGAATTATTTCAGAATTTTAGTTTTAATTTAAATTGATTGTCACAGTGATGACCATGCTAGATAAGAAAAGCTATAAATATTTTTGATTCGTAATTAACAAATAAAATAAAATTATAGCAATGTGCAAAATAAAAAATGAAATAATTTCAATAATTTGCCAGAGTCAACGCACGCGTGAGATACAATGTAATTGTCGCGATTATTTCACACGCGTCGTATGCGAATTGAGATTAATAATTAATAAGTAAATTATTAAGCTATCCACGGTAGCGCGCCCGGTATTCCCAAGTGTATCCGTAACATAGTTCAAATGGCGATAGTTTCTACAACTGTGTCCAGTCGCAAACCAGTGTAATTTCCTGAATTAGTTTAAACGGCATGTTTTATTCAAAGTAACTGCTTTGTTGGGTCATTTTACAGAATAAGACTTCGTCAAAGCAAGCGATGTTGTTAAATCAGAACATTATTTTAATATCTCGTAATAATACATAATAAATAATAACGAAATGATATTCGCAACGCACTTTTATCAGACATTTTCATGATGAATACGTACTGAAGTGACTATAATTTATAATATATCGACATTTTTAAAAATTAATGAGACTATTCGCTACTCTCCAGTTGCAGAAAGCTTACTCGTAATTATCAGAGAATATAGTAAAATCGAGGAGAAAATTAAAGACCTCGGAACTAGGTCACAAACAAAATATACAATACCATATATATATTAATACGAAATATGCGATACAAATAGCCACACGTTTAATGTCAACCACGTATGCGCAAATCGAAGAGAATTATTCATAGGGTTGAACAAAATAATCATTGTTAGGAGATTTAATGCTAATGCCAACACGATATAGATTGTAAACCAATGCGTCGAATTATTAACCAATTTATACGTTAATTCTCCGTTGTTCTCTCCCTTCAACGCCAAGGATAACTCACAATAGCGCCCGAATCATGCCGAAGAGGAAAATTAGCTTAAGTTTTAAATTGAAACACGACATAATTTTTTTCCGTTTCTCGTGATTATGATTCGCGGCTAGAAACTATCTTAAGATACAACGGAAACAACATCGAGAGATAAAACATAACTTAAGATCCTTTCAATTCGCGTAAACGAACGAATCGTCAGCATTATAAACGAGGAACAAATTTAATTTGCGCCTCGAATTACGCCGTCTGCAAAAATCACGGTGAGCGCAAACGAACGAACGAACTAATGGGGATACCTACCATTAGGAATTCCCAATTCACGCCGTAATTATCGCTAATTGGACTCCGGATTATACTCGCGCGACACTCGTCGTGTGAAATGCTCGAGTCGTTCGAGACGCGAATTATGTATGCCCCATACGTAGGTATTTCTGAAAGCTACGAAGGACATTGTGGTGCCGAAAGGCTGCACGGGATATGAAGAATTGTGAAGGGAGAGTCAGTTTTTTATATCCAAAATAATCGTTCGCACAATAAAAATTTAAAATAGCTATTTGAAATATCCAATAAAAAGAATAAATAATAAATTAAATCTTTTGATTGAAATTTAAAAAAATTTTCTCGAAAGTACGAGAACGTATTTTTTTTTATTGTAAACTAGAAAGAAGGTATGAGATGCACCATATGGTCGATTGATCGTCGGTAGCCGGAAACCTACCCTACCTCTCCCATGAGCTCGTGGCTAATACCTCGATGCCAATGCGTGATTAGTGTCCGCGGGGAAATCTACCGCGGACATGTTTGAGAGCTAATGCTCGTTTCTGCCTCAGAACTCCCGTGTGCTTTTCCGCGCCCAATACGAATACAACTAATTTCAACGCGATCCGAATCAATAGCACTTCTCTAAAATTTTCGATGGTCTGCATTGCGAGTATTTCCAATTATAGTACAATTCCTGCATTCTCATCAATAGTACCGGCTGCTTTCAAAACTTTTTATTTCAGTCCCAGAACAAACTGGATTTCTTTGTGAAGATGCGGAACATGGGATCGTCTGATGATACTGACTAGTGATATCTGCCGTTTTTTCGATGGGATGCTACGAGGTAAGAAAAGCACCAGACGAAGCGCTGAATCAGTGAATTACGATGCTATGTTCCGCGGTCTCCGCGTAAGTCATGGCAGCGGGAATAAATTAGAACAGCCACTGTATTCCCTTTAAAATGATGGAAATACTTAGACTGCGAGGAATAATTTTATAAAACCTCGGAAGATGTAAAAAATTTTACATTTTAAGAGGAAGGACCATGATCACGAATTAACTTTTTTCTTTATTTAAATAAGTCTTCTATTATGAGAAAAAGAGCTATTGAATTGAATTTATCAATTATTGCAGACTTATTATTGTTTCTATAGATAAATTAACTCCAATTTTCAAAAATAAGAACAACTATAACGCACTGTGTTGGTTACCGAGAAATAAGTTAACAGTCAATTTGATCTAAATGAAACGCATACTCTTTCTATCATAGCCTTCAGTTGGCAGCAGTCAGGAATAAAAAGAGAATGATAAAACTTTTGTTAAAGAAATATGTTTCAATATGACAAAGTATATGTTTTTAAATAAAGAATTCGACAGATAAAATAAGCGGAGTAATACTTCTCTCTCTTTCTCTCAAATGTT